TTGTGAATCTTTCAAACCAGGCTTTGGGAGACTGTTTAAGTCCATATAGAGATTTTTTTAGCTTGCATACCTTAGTTCCAAACTTCTTAGTGAAACCAGGTAGAGGCTCCATATATACTTCTTCTTCCAAGTCTCCATTCAAAAAGGCATTCTTCACATCTAGTTGATTCAGTGGCCAGTCAAGATTAGCTGCAATAGATAAGAGTACTCGAATTGTATTTAGCTTCGCCATTGGAGAAAAGGTCTCAGAGTAGTCTATTCCATATGTCTGAGTAAAGCCTTTAGCTACTAGGCGAACCTTGTATCTCTCCAAGGATCCATCTGAGTTGTACTTCAGAGTGAACACCCATTTACAACCAACAAYTGTCTTTCCATCCGRCAGRTCCACTTTCTCCCAAGTAGCATTCTTTTCCAAAGCTCTCATCTCCTCAAAAATAGCTTCTTTCCACTCAAGAAAATTTAGAGCCTCTTGGATACTGTTAGGAATGGATACACTAAACACTTGTGAAATAAAAGCACAATATGAAGGTGAAATATTTTTGTAAGATACAAAATTTGACAGAGGATGTTTTGTACAAGACCTAACACCTTTCCTAAGAGCAATGGGAAGATCAAGCTGACTGGAAGAGAATTACCTGGAGGAATATTTTCAGGGATTTTTGGAGAATTATCATGAATTTCATGATCCAACCTCATATCAGATTCTTGTTGATGTTGCGGAATAGTGCCTCTCCTTTTCTGTGCTATATATTCCCTTGAATATACAAGGCCTTTATACTGTTTCGCACACATCTCTATTGTTTCAGCTTTTTCATTTTGAGACGGCATCACCAAAGGTTGTTCATTTTCAATATTTAATTCATTTGTTTCCACTAATTTTACATTTTCTGCCTCACTTTCTTTCGGTGACTTGTTGAGAGGAACATCATTATGGACAAATTCAAACATTAAATCAGAACCATCAAAAAAACCATCTTCACTAGTGTTGCTCTCCCCCCTGAAGACGGGAGTTGTTGTAGTACGAGGTTCCTTCAAAGAATGTGACATCCATAGTCACAAACATCCTTTTCAAAAYTGGATCAAAGCATTTGTAACCTCTCTGATTAGTGGGATAGCCTACAAAAATACATTTATGTGCTTTTGGATTAAGTTTTGAACGTTTAGGATCATGGTTATGAACAAA